GCTGTGTCATCAAAGCTCACAGCAACCTCCAACTCCTGGGCTCAAGAGATTCTCCTGCCTCCACCTCCCAAGTAGCTGGGACTACAGGAGCCCAGCACAACGCCTGGCTGCAGCTGTCACTGTTGTTTGGCAGCCTGGGCTGGATTCAAACCTGCCAGCTCAGGTGGATGTGGCTGGTGCCTTTGCCACTTGAGCCACAGGCGCAGAGCCTGCGACTAGGTCTTGATCATGTTTAGATCTCAAACTTCTAGCACATGGTAGGTTTTCAACTGCTGTGTGGCCCACTGTTCATTTCATTCCCTTTGCCTGGAGTTCTTCATTCAGCCTCCAACCCAGCCAGGTCCAGGACTTTGCTGAAATCTTAGCAATCCTAAAAGGATCAGCTCAAATGCTACGTTCTCCTTCCTTCATTACTCCAACTAGGCTACAAGAATAATAGCCAAGGCTGTGCGTGATGGCTCACACCTGTAATACCAGTATTCTGGGAGACCAAGGTGGGTGGATAGCCTGAGCTCACGAGTTCAAGCTCAGCCTGAGCAAAAAGTGAGATCTCGTCTCTACTAAAAATAGAAAAAACTGAGACAAGAGGCTTGCTTGAGCCCAAGAGTTGGAGGCTGCTGTGAACTATGACACCATGGCATTCTACCCAGGTCAACATCTTGAGACTCTGACTCAAAAAAGAAAAAGAAAAAAAAGAATAGCTGATTTTGTTTTGTTTTTTTCTAGAGACAGAGTCTCACTTTGTAACCCTCGGTAGAGTGCCAAGGCGTCATAGCTCAAAGTAACCTCCAGCTCTTGGGCTTAGGCTATTCTCTTGCCTGAGCCTCCCAAGTAGCTGGGACTACAGGTGCCTGCCCTAATGCCCAGCTACTTTTTTGTTGCAGTTTGGCCATGGCTGGGTGCGAACCCGCCACCCTTGCTATATGGGGCTGGCTCCCTACTCCCTCAGCCACAGGTGCCACCCAATAGCTGATATTGTTTTGCTAAGTGCTTTACACCTATTAATCTACAACCATCCAAATTAGATATTATCATCCCTATTTTTCAGTTTAGGAAACAAAACTTAAATAACTTCCCTAAGGTTAAACAGCACTTAAGTGACAAGGTCTTTTTTTTGGAGACAGAGTCTCAAGCTGTTGCCCTGGGTAGAGTGCTGTAGCATCACAGCTCACAGCAACCTCCAACTCTCCGGCTTAAGTGACTCTTGCCTCTGCCTCCCAAGTAGCTGGGACTACAGGCACACGCCACAACGCCCAGCTATTTTTTTGTTGCAGTTTGGCTGAGGCCAGGTTTGAACCCGCCACCTTTGGTATATGGGCCAGCGCCCTACTGAATGAGCCACAGGCGCCACCCCAGCTATTTTTGGGGGGGGTTGTAGTTGTCAGTGTTGTTTGGCAAGCCCGGCTGGATTCAAACCCACCAGCTCACTGGTGTATATGTCTGGTGCCCTAGCCACTGGATTTGAACCCACCAGCTTACGCAGTGTATGTGGCTAGTGCCCTAGCTGCTTGAGCTACAAGCGCTGAGCCTACATGACTGATCTTAAAGACAGTATCCACAGTGGCTCACATTTGTAATCCTAGTACTCTGGGATGTCAAAGTGAGAGGACTGCTTGAGCTCAGGAGTTCAAGACCAGCCTAAGCAAGCGTGAGAACCCCACCCCCACCCCGTCTCTACTAAAAATAGAAAAACCAGCCAAGTGTTGAGGCAGAAGCTTATAGTCCCAGCTACTTGGGAAGCTGAGGCATGAGCATCGCTTGAGCCCAAGAGTTTGAGGTTGCTGTGAGTTAGGTTGACCCCACAGCACTCTACCCAGGGTGACGTGAGACTCTGTCTCAAAAAAAAAGCAGCATCTACAGAGAAATTCTGCTTGTAGACTGCAGTTTCAGCTGATTCAAGGAGTTCCACCCAACTCTTCCTGACGGCCTGCCCTGTGAATTTTATTTTTATTTTTTTGAGACAGAGTCTCACTATGTTGCCCTCAGTAGAGTGTTGTTGCATCACAGCTCACAGCCACCTCAAACTCTTGGGCTTAAGTGATTCTCTTGCCTCAGCCTCCCAAGTAGCTGGGACTACAGGTGCCTGCCATAACACCCAGCTGTTTTGTTGTTATAGTTGTAATTGTTGTTTAGCAGGCTCAGGTAGCCCCAGCCATGGTGTAACTGGCTGGTGCCCTAGTCACTGAGCTACAGGAATCAAGCTTATTTATTTATTTAGAGATAGAGTCTCATTTTGTTGCCCTCAGCAGAGTGCTGTGATGTCATAGCTCATAGCAACCTCAAACTCTTGGGCTTAAGCAATCCTCTTGCCTCAGCCTCCCAAGTAGCTGGGACCTGCCACAACACCTGGCTATTTTTAGAGATTGGGTCTTGGTCTTGCTCAGGCAATCTGCCTTTGGCCTCCCAAAGTAATAGGATTACAGGTGTGAGCCTTCTAGCCCAGCTTAGTTCTCTTACTTTTATAATTTTTAGAGACAGAATCTCACTTTATCCTCCTCAGTAGAGTACGTGGCGTCACAGCTCACAGCAACCTCCAACTCCTGGGCTTAGACGATTCTCTTGTTTCAGCCTCCCGAGTAGCTGGGACTACAGGCGCTCACCACAACACCCGGCTATTTTTTGTTGCAGTTTGGCCGGGGCCGGGTTCGAACCACTACCCTCAGTATATGGGGCCAGCTCCTTACCCACTGAGCCACAGGCACTACCCAGTTCTCTTATTTTTAATGATTTGTGTGCTTATCCCTTTAAACTGGTAGTACCACAAGGACAAATATTGCAGGCGTTTCAACTCTGTATCCCCAAATCTTAGCTTTGCATTAAGATGTTAATAAATGTGGATTACTATACAAATCACAATTCCCTCCACATCTTTGGCAGAAGGGCTGAAGACAATTCCAGGCGCTCTCTCATCCCCAAAGGCAAGCCTGCCCAGAGTACCATACTGGAACAATATCCCTGAAGATGTTTCTCTACCTTTAGACCCCAGTTCAGGTTCCCATCTAGTAACTTCAGGCTTGTCTTCTCCAAGTCTGAGCTATGACTGCAAATGTGTATGGTCCTGGGGCCCGCGTCTGCTGGAACACAGTCCCAGCCAGGGCCCCACTAGGATGGGAATTCTCTAGTCTCTCCCTAGGTTTGACCTTTGTAGGGTTGTTGACCTGTCTCTAGTCTTTCTGGCAGCTTCTTTCTTTGTGTCTCTGTCTCTTTGTCTCTACTTGTTTCACAGACAGCAGTCTTTTGTTCCTCTGCCCCAGGCCTGTTCCTCTCCAGGCTACCTGCCTCTTTCTCTTAGCTCCTCAGTGACTATATCTCTTATCAGTTTCTACATCTCTTTGTCTCTAGCGGCCCATCTCATATTCCGGTATTTTTGGTGGGTCGCTGTCCCCTCCATCTCCCTCTGGCCCTTACGTCCTCTCTCATTTAGGGTTCTTAAGTGAGGATTTTGGAGTCTCTGGCTCAGGTCTCCGTACCAGACCCTAGGTGCGATTCCATCTGCCTGCCTCTCCTCCGCGGCATTTACCGGGTGTCTGCCTCTAGGATCTGCTCCTGCCTCGGTCTCCCCAAGCCCAGCCCCCACCCCCGGCCCTCGGCCTCTACCACCAGCCCGGCTTTGTTTCCAGTGTCTTGGCGCCCCGCCCCGCCCCGTCTGGGGTCTCCGCCGCCCTTTGTCTGCCTTGGTCTCTCCCCCATCCCCTTCCCTGGGTCCGTCTTTGGATCCCTCTTTCTTTGTCTCTCACGGCCCCGAGTGGCTGGCGCTATCGGCTAGCCAGGGAGGTCGGTACGAATGGCCTGCGACACTGCAACAATTTGAAAGAGTCTTCGGCCCTCATTGCCCACCTGCAGCCCAGGAGGCACACGGTTAATACCACAGAGTTCGGGCCACTGTCCTCGGCTTAGAGTAGCCCTTGCGGCCACACGCAACCGCCCGCTGGCCACCGAGCTCCCGCCAAGGCGGGCGGCCCCCGCAGGAACGCAGCTCCTCCAAGGTCCTAGAGCGGCTCTGTGAGCCCCGCGCTTCCGCTTCCCGTCCCCGCCCCCGACAGCCGCCCCCGGGACGCCTGGGTCCGACCCCCTTCCCGGTTTGGCTCGTAGCCCGCAACCCGGAGCTGTCGGCGGCTTGGGCATTCGCACCCCGCGGAGGGGCTCCGGAGCGCGCCGGAGTGGCGGCGCCAGAGGCGGCCGGCAAGGTGAGAGGGGAGGCTGCGTGCCGGGAGGAGCGGCGGTGTAGGGGTGGTCGGCGGCGCGGGCGGGGGTCACCGGCAGCCGCGCCCCGAGCCTAGCGCCTACGACCCGACTGCCCGGTGCGGGCGCCGGCCGGCAGAGGGCAGCGGCAGAGCGCCACGGGCCACACATGGCTGTGTGACCGCAGGATTATGTGGCCGTCCTTTTGCTCAGGGTAGTGTGCCGGCGATGGAGCGCGCGGCAGAGCCCTGGGACCCGGATCTCCATGGTCCAGAGGAGAGGCAGCAACTGAGAGGTGTCCGCACAGGTGAGGGCCGCGGCCGCGCGCCACCATGGACAGGTAATGGCTGGGTGGGGGTCTCCGGTGCTGGGTTTTTCAGCGCTGAGACCAAGAAAATTAAGACTGAAGCTATGCCTCTGGGAGACGGGGGAGGGGAGCAAAACCCGAGGGAGGGACCCTGCTTTTCTGAGCATCTACTGTGCGCTAGACTTTGAGGGGCATCTTCTCAAGGACTCTCTCCCTGCCCCCACAGTCTCCACCATGCTCCCTGCCTCTGCCCTACTTCAGGACTCTTTCTGTGTCTTGGCAATTGCAAGAGCCTCCCTTCTATCCTTTTCACTCCAATAATGTACTGTGCAGCCAGATTGATCTAAGTCCAGATCTCATCCTGTCTTTCTTCTCAAAAGCCTGTTGTAGCTCCTGTCTACTTATTAAAAACCTTAGCTTAGTGTTCAGTTCAAATCTTACATGCTCAGCCCTGCCTTCCATTCCTCTCCCTGATTTCTCTTTGCTCTGCTGTGGGTGCTGGTTCCTATTTCCTTATCTCTTATCTCTCTTGAGATAATGATAACATTATTATTAATGATAATAATGATAACATTATTATTCTGAACCCACAATTATAATTATTGATACTTTACCTTATTTCTTCTGCCAATTCAAAGCATCTTGGATAAGTGTCTAGGTCCCTTAGGGTACCCACAGGGTGACTAAAGTAATAAATTACCCAGTGGGCTAATATAATAAGGTGCAATAGAAAGCAAACCTCACGTTTTCCAAATATAGATACAACAAGGTAGTGGTTAACACAGGTGTCAGACAAAAGTGAGTTAGAAACTAGGCTTTGTTACTTTCTCACCTTTATAAACCCAGCAAGTGACTTAAATTCTCAGAGTCTCTGTGCCTATAAAAGTAAAATGAGAGGCCAGGCACAGTTGCTCAAGCCTATATTCCTAGCACTGTGGGAGGCTGAGGCAGGTGGATTTCTTGAGCTCAGGAGTTCGAGATAAGGTGGAGCAAGAAGACCCTGTCTCTACTAAAAATAGAAAACCTTGCTGAGCATCATGGCAGGTGCCTGTAGTCTCAGCTACTGGGGAGGCTGAGGCAGGTGGATCATTTGAGCCCAAGAGTTTGAGGTTGCTGTGAGCTACAGTGACAACATGGCAGTCTATCCAGGGTGATAGAATGAGACTCTGTCTTAAAAAAAAAAAAGAAAAGAAGAAGTAAAATGAGGATGGTGGCTGTCCTCTTGCTCAGGGTGGTGTGCCAGTAATGGAGTGCGCGGCAGAGCCCTGGGACCTGGATATCCATGACCCAGAGGAGAGGCAGCAGCTGAGAGGTAGCTCAGTGGGTAGGGGCCAGCCACATACACCGAGGCTGGAGGATTCGAACCTGCCCCAGGCCAGCTAAAGCAACAATGACAACTGCATCAAAAAAAAAAAAAAATAGCCGGGCGTTGTGGCAGGCGCCTGTAGTCCCAGCTACTCAGGAGGCTGAGGCAAGAGAATTGCTTAAGTCCAAGAATTGGAGATGACTGTGAGTTGTGATGCCCTCTACCAAGGGCAACATAGTGAGACTCTGTCTCAAAATAAAATGAAGATGGTAATAGTATAATTTCTTTTTTTTTTTTTTTTTTTTGAGACAGAGCCTCAAGCTATCCCCCTGGGTAGAGTGCTATGGCTTCACACTCACAGCAACCTCCAACTCCTGGACTCAAGCAAGTCTCCTGCCCCAGCCTCCCAAGTAGCTGGTACCACAGGCGCCCGCCACAACGCCCGGCCATTTTTTGGTTGCAGCCATCATTGTTGTTTGGCAGGTCTGGGCTGGATTCGAATCCGCCACCTTAGGTGTATGTGGCTGGCGCCTTAGCCACTTGAGCCACAGGTACCTAGCCGTAATAGTATAATTTCATAGCCCTCTAAGACTAATAATGCTTAGTTCAATGATTGGCATGTATTAAGGGCATAGTAAAGGGAAGTTGTTACTGAGAAATGCAGATAATAAGTGCTGTAGAAATTCAGAGGAGAGGCAGTGAGAAAGATAGATTCTCTTTTTTTTTTTTTTTTCTTTTTTTTTTTGTAGAAATAGAGTCTCACTTTGTTGCCCTTGGTAGAATGCCGTGGCATCACACAGCTCACAGCAACATCCAACTCCTGGGCTTAAGCAATTCTCTTGCCTCAGCCTCCCAAGTAGCTGGGACTACAGGTGCCTACCACAGTGCCCTGCTATTTTTTGGTTGCAGTTTGGTCAGGACCGGGTTTGAACCCACCGCCCTTGGTATATGGGGCTGGCACCCTACTCACTGAGCCACAGGTGCCGCCCCAAGAAAGATAGCTTCTCATGACCACAGATTGTTAAGTCTTCCTGGGCTATTTATTATCAAAGATAAGGGCTGAGCCAAAGGGCAGTGTCTACAACTCCCCTTTCTTTCCCCAGGTCTAGGGAGTGAGAATGTGGAGCTTTCTCAAACGGATGAGTATGATCATACATCACAAGAGGATGGCTTGGGGTTCAAAGAAGAAGATTTGGCCCCAGGTCATGAAGTGGGAAATGCCTCCCTCAAACCCGATGGCATCCAGACTTGGGATGACTTATGGGTCCAGAGAGAGGGGCTAGGAAAGCCTCAGCCTCGGGATAGAGCTCCCCGCCTCCTGGGAGAACCACGGTGGGGCCAGGCTAGTAGTGATCGGGCTGCTGTGTGTGGTGAGTGTGGCAAGAGCTTCCGGCAGATGTCAGATCTGGTAAAACACCAGCGGACCCACACAGGGGAGAAACCCTACAAGTGCGGGGTCTGTGGCAAGGGCTTTGGGGATAGCTCTGCCCGTATCAAACACCAGCGAACTCATAGTGGTGAGAAACCCTACAGAACCCGGCCACCAGCCCAGGGCCCTCCAAAGATTCCTCGGCCCCGGATCCCTGCTGGTGAGCGCCCCACTATCTGTGGTGAATGTGGCAAGAGCTTTCGACAGAGTTCTGACCTGGTAAAACACCAGCGGACACACACAGGTGAGAAGCCCTACAAGTGTGGCATCTGTGGCAAGGGCTTTGGTGATAGTTCTGCCCGAATAAAGCACCAGCGGACACACCGAGGAGAGCAGCCACCCCAGCCAGTAGTCCCCCGACGGCAGCCCTCTCGGGCAGCTACAGCAGCTGTGCAGGGACCCAAGGCCCAGGACAAGCCATATATCTGCACTGATTGTGGCAAAAGGTTTGTGCTTAGCTGCAGCCTCCTGAGCCACCAGCGCAGTCACCTGGGGCCCAAGCCCTTTGGCTGTGATGTGTGTGGAAAGGAGTTTGCCCGGGGCTCAGACCTGGTGAAGCACCTACGGGTGCACACAGGAGAGAAGCCCTACCTCTGCCCTGAGTGTGGCAAGGGCTTTGCTGACAGTTCCGCCCGAGTCAAGCACCTCCGCACCCACAGTGGTGAGAGGCCTCATGCTTGCCCAGAATGTGACCGCACCTTCAGTGTCAGCTCCACCCTTCTTCGCCACCGCCTCACACACATAGAGCCCCAAGACTTCAGCTTCCCAGGCTACCCTCTAGCTCCCCTGATCCCCAGCCCTCCCCCACCTCCTCTTGGCACCAGCCCCCCACTGACGCCTCGAAGCCCTTCACACTCAGGTGATGGGCCATTTGGCCTGCCTGGGTTGGAGCCGGAGCCTGGGGGCCCCCAGGCTGGGGAGCCACCTCCACCACTGGCAAGTGACAAACCCCACAAGTGCCCTGAGTGTGGCAAGGGCTTCCGCCGAAGCTCTGACCTGGTGAAACATCATCGTGTGCACACAGGGGAGAAACCTTACCTCTGTCCAGAATGCGGCAAGGGGTTTGCTGACAGCTCAGCCCGAGTCAAGCACCTGCGCACTCACCGTGGTGAACGGGCCCGGCCCCCGCCACCGTCCACTCTCCTGCGGCCACATAACCCACCTGGCCCAGCACCCATGGCCCCTCGACCTCGAGTTCGGGCCCAGCCTTCTGGACTTAGCCAACCCCATGTGTGTGGCTTCTGTGGGAAAGAGTTTCCCCGGAGCTCTGATCTGGTCAAACATAGGCGCACACACACTGGGGAGAAGCCATACAAGTGTGCAGAGTGTGGCAAGGGTTTTGGTGACAGTTCTGCTCGTATAAAGCATCAGCGTGGGCACCTAGTCCTAAGGCCCTTTGGGATAGGAGATAGGGGAAGGCCCCTCAAGGAGGAACAACCAACAGAACTGGAATGATGGGGTCAGGGAGGGTGGGGCCTAGGTGACCAAAGGGAGGGCATCTTCTGCTTAAGCAGAGAAGAAAGGGCCTGGGAGGTGGTGGGAGGGAGAAGGGGGAGAGATGGGAGAAAGGAGTGAATAGATAGAAATAGGAATTGGAGACAATAACCTTGAAGCTCAGGAAATTGTCCTGGCTGGGCACAGTCAGGTCCTTGCCAGTGTGGGCTATACT